TAAAATACACATTAACATAAAATTATCATCATAGCCATCTTTAAGCATATAGTTCAGAGGCATTAAGCACAGTTACATTGTTTTACTATCATTGCCATCCACGTCCAAAACTTTTTAAATCTCCCTAATCTAAAACTATACAGCCACTAAAACATTAATTTCCCATTCTCCTCTCCCCTGGCAACCACCAAGATGCTGTCAAATGAATAAACGAATCAGCTCATGAGGCCTCCTACTAGGTCAACTCTAGGACAACTTGAACATTCAAAAATGATATAAATGGACCATAATACTGATTTTAAAAAAACCTCAGAACTACAAGCCTACACATGAAATACATAATACCTTAAAAATAAAGGGTATCAGGAGAGTTCCTTTATACTAAAAATACTAACTTAAAAAGTGAAGAAAGAATAATAGACCTAGAAAATTACTCTCTTGATTCAGGCAATAATCATCAATAGATGCTAAAATACTGGGCAAGAAACTATTAGAAAACAGAACTTTCATAGCCTTCTAGCTTAACGCCACAGATTATTTTTTAAAGACAAAGGAAAACAGCTGCTTTTACTATGAAGAAATCTGGAAGATACAGTGTTAATCAAATGATCAAATTCATGAGCATCAATGGTAAGACAGACATCATGTCCTAGGAATGCAGCAGTGAGGAGGACAACAGCTCATCTATGTGGTGTTCTTGTCAGAAATGTTCAACCTGACTCAAATGAGGTAACAATCTGATGAAGCCAATCACAGGGAAACAATCTGAACATGCTGCACAACTGACCTTGAGTCTTCAGAAATACCAGTTAGGGCTGGGGTGAGTGTGTCTCAGTGGTAGAATGCTTACTTAACATGAATACACACACACATATACACAAACACACACTTCCCACTGTCCTGAAAAACAGTAAAATTGAAGTCTAGGAAATTGTATCAGATCCAAGAGGACCAAATAGACCCAGTAATTATTCCATGTGCAGTTTTTGGATGGATAACAAAAAAAGGACACCACTGGGATGACTACAGAAATTAGGGTACGAGCTGTACGTTAGATGGTATTATTTTGATGCTACATTTCCTAAGTGTGATAACTGTATCAAGGATAGGTAAGAGGTCATCCTTGTGATACCCATGCTGTGGTTGTTATGGTTTGTGTCTAGATGTCCCTCCAAAACCTCATACAATACTGGGGGGGGGGTGCTTTTTGGAGGTGGCTGAATCTAGAGTTTGTGACTAATTGATGGTCCAATGCTGTGAATAAGGATGTGAGTGTACACCTGCCCAGCTGCCCGCATAAAATAAAAGGAACAGAAGAGGCTTACCCTCTCACTGCTTTTGCTACCTTTGACTGCCATCAGCTTTTGCCCTTCGGCCATGTTCTACCCGGCCTTGGAGCCAGACAATTATGGACTAAAGACTCTACAAAATGGGAGCTAAATAAATCTTTCTCCCTTTAACTTCAGGTATCAGGTACTTTATTTCAGCAATGAGGAAATTAAGTTAGTAGTACTTAGAGATGAAAGTTTATGGAGGCTGCAAATAATTTTCAGACAGTTCAAGAATAAAAAATATAGAAAAATTGGGGCTGGGGATTTAGCTTAGCAGCATAAGCGCCTGCCTTGCAAGCAGGCAGTCGTGAGTTCGATCCCTGGTACTGATAAAAAGGGAAAAGACAAAAAAATAAAAAAGAAAAATTAAGTAAAAGTGGCAAAATTTTAAAAACATGAATCTAGGTGATGGGTGATTAACTGGGTGTTTACTATACACACACACACACACACACACACACACACACACACATATATACATAATTTTTTTCTTTTTGCACGCCATCTCTGGGATGGCAGTTTGCAAAGTTCTAAATAAAAAGTTTAGGATGACAACAGAATGAGAAGACAAGCCACACTGGGAGAAAACATTTACAAAACAACTATTAAAGGATTTATATCCAAAATGCACAAGGAATTCTTAAAACTCATTAAGAAAGTGAATCATCAATTTAAACTTGAGCAAAGATCTGAACAGACACTTCACCAAAGAAATAAAAATGGCAAATAAGTGTAAGATGCTCCACATCATGTCACTAAGAAACTGCAAATTAAAATAAAATATCCCTATTAGAATGGCTTAAACCTGAAACACCGACAACAGAACAACAGTAACTCTCACTCATTATTGGTGGGAATACAAGATACAGCCACTCTGGAAGACAGTCCATATGGTACATTTTCTATCTGACACTCTGAAAAAAGCAAAATTATGAGGATAGCAACAAGATCGGTAATAAGATCACAGAAATTAGAGGGATATGGTGGATTAACTAATGGTCAACTTGTAACACCCAGCTGAACTGAATCAGCATGGCACTGGGAATGGATAGTTCACCTGAAGATTACTACCAGCAGCATAAAAAGAGAACTGGAGAAGATGGTGTGTTGTTGTCCTGGACAAGCTTGTCATGCTGATTGTCCTGATATGAACTCAGATATTCTGTCAGAGGAGTGCAGGTCCTTGATGTTCCTGAGGATGGCTGTGGTTCTTTGGGGAAAGCTTTGGTCTTTATTTTGAATATTGCTTCCTGGTTCCAGTGCAGATCCCTCTGCCTGCTGGCACAGATCCTTCATCCTACTGGTGCAGACTTTTTAGCTTCTATGACTGACCTTTGGGCCTTCTCAGTGCATATCCTTGATACAGACTTGCACGAGACATTGTTGTGGGCTCTAGGCCTCCAGCTGAACTCATGGAAAATACTGCCACGGGTTCTAGGTCTTTAGCTGGACTCACACAGGACACTGTCATGGGATCCAGGCCCTCAGCTGGATTCTTTGGGTCTCGAGTGCATGGACAGATCTCCTGCATTCTTTTGCATTTGACTCTGGATGAATATTATAAAACAATCTTATAAATTGTGTCTTGTATTAAATCTTTTTCCTCAAAAATGCTCACCACAACGAAACTGATGCCAGGAGAGTGGTCATTGCTGTGACGTTACCTGGCTGTGTGGTTTAAGAGCCTTGGGAATTAATCCGGAAAGTTTTTGAGAGTGGCTTAAGAGATAGCCCCATATACTATAAATTATACGGTAAGCTCTAGTCAGAGCCTGGAAAAATCAGAATACTGATGGAAAGGATGCTGGTTAAAATGAGGCTCAGGAGGTGTCTATTGCAGAATGAACTGGCTGCTGGATCCCAGGTAATGGGATTGTTCTTTGGCAGGAAGTTAGTCTGCATTTTGCTTGTGTTTAGAGATACTGCACATATGGCAGAAATATTTAAATGCAATTTACTGTCGAGACAGTGTCATGAATACTGTTGAGAGCTTTTGGTCAGATCTATGTTTGAAATTCAGAGTAAAAAGTCAGCAAAGTGATTTGAAGCATTTGGCCAGAGGGAAAGCTCCAGTGGAGCTGTGGGCTGCAAGGATAAAACAGACAAGAACACTGAAAAGGAACAGGATAGTGAAAATGACCTAAGGCCTTTGTCAGAAGGGCAGTGTATTTGAAATGCAGGAGATCCCTTGAGGCATCTCTTAGTGTTGCCATCCCCGGTTGTTAAAAGTTAATAGGAAGCAAGGATTGTGACTGATTTTAATATGACTTCAACTTAATTTTTAGATACGTTTTTAATCAGGTTAATTAGTTGGAGTATTGTGGTTTTAACTTTAAATTTTGATTGCCTTTTGAGTATTTTGTTTTGGTGTGAAAATGAGTGCAGTAAGAGTTGTATATATGTAACTATCATGTTAATTAATGTAAATCTGAATAGGCCAACATGTTAACTTTTCACAAATCTGCCACTGGAGACTGTAAAGAAATGTCTTGTGATCAATTTGACAAGGGGTGGAAATTTGAGAAATTTAGAAGCTTAATTAAGTGGGCTCAGCAATTCTATACCCTCGCATGTAGAGGACTGTTTGAGGAGGCTGTCTGCACCTTAGGGTGCAGAGGACCGACCTTAGGGCAGTTTGTCACCTAAATGGTGTAAAGGAAAAATGAGGAAGGACAGTCTTCAGAAGAGCTCCAGTCTTTGCTTTCAGCTTGGACGTCATTTCCTGGCTTCTAGTGCAGACTCTTTGGCTTCCACCTTGGATCCTGTGCCTTGCTTTTTAGACTCTTCAATCTTCTGCTGCAGACTTATATGTCTCTTGATATGAACTTGTATAAGACCCTGCTAACTCCAGATCTTGGACTGAAAGCCTCCAGTGTATAGACACCTTTAACTGCTTCCTCATTCAGCTCTGTGGCTGACCATCTTAAACCAGTCTTGTAATTTTTTTGCGGGGTGGGGGTGGGGTACCAGGGATTGAATTTACATCCTTGTGCTTGCCAGGCTGGTACTTGTGCTGCTGAGCTAAATTCTTAGCTTTAGTCTTGTAATTTTTTATATATTTGTATATCTAGTATATCTAGTTCTTTAGTAAAACACTGAGTGATACAAGGGGCATGGGAATAAAGAGCACAGACAATTTTTACAAGAGTGAAACAAATCCACAAGGTACTATGATGGTGGACATGTGTCATCATACATTTGAACAAACTCACAGAATACACAACAGTAAGCATGAACCTTAAGGTGTACTATATTCTTTGAGAGATAATGTCAATGTAAGCTCACCATGGTGCTGGATGATAATAGGGGAGACTGCTCCGTTCTGCTCTAAATCTAAAACTGTTTGAAAAATAAAATCTATTTAAAAAAAACCAAACATTGGGTGGGGGGGCTGACCAGACATGCTTACTCTTGACTGAACCACCTCGCCTTGCTCTAGTTTCATGCTGTATCCACCGGAGCATCATTTTATTTCATGGGGGGGGGGTAGTTCCTATGTAAGTCTTTTCTTCAAATAAATAAAAAAAGATAACTAAGAAGCATCTATGCCCAGGAGTAAAAAATTCTGTTAACTATCCTTGATTCTCTGGGCATCAAAACTGCGTGCCTTACTTCTTGCCATTGGTTCTCTCATCTTTTTCCTAGGGAAAAGACATCATTTAGAAGTACCTGTGGAAGTCACCCAGGTCTTCTGCATTGATAAAATCATCTAAGTTCAGAGTCAAGTCTGTCACTTGCTGTGAGCCATATTCCTAGAAAAATGAAAATAGAAAATGAGAGATGGGGGATATTTTTGGGCTGAGTGCATGGGTGGGGAAAACAACAGTATACAACTTAAAGAAACACTCCTGTTCACAAACAGAAATACGTTAGGACTCTTTGCAAAGTATGGAATACTTTTGTTTTGTTTTGTTTTGTCTTTTGTCTTTTTCCTTTTTTTATCGGTACCAGGGATCAAACTCACGACTGTCTGCTTGCAAGGCAGGCGCTTATGCCACTGAGCTAAATCCCCAGCCCCCTGGAATACTTCCTAATTTAGAAATACTTCCTTTCCCACACCAGGAAACCTGTGTCTTAGGTTCTGGCTTGGGGACAGGCATGCAATCAAGTTTCAAATGGATGCACAACTGTGAACTGCAGCAACGGCTAGAAGCAAGCCTAACAAGGAAGAGCAATCTTGCTAATCAGGGTAGCAGCAGACGCTGCTGGCATCACAGTATCAGTGACTGAGGAGAGAGAGCACCAGGCTGGCAATACTGGCCAGTACCCAAGACTGAGTGGGTGGGGAGCAGCACTGGTTTGGAGGACAGCCCCTAAGAATCCTGCCTTGAACCTGTTTCAGTGAGCTGTCCCAATTCTTTTAACAAACACTTCTGTTTAAACTAACCTGGAAGACTTTCACTGTTTGCAACTAATAATCTGACATTAGGATCTAAATGTTCATCCATAAAGGAAGGGATAATGGAGCATAATAACTGAAACATATGCAGTGTCATCTATATGTGTTCCTATGTAAAGACCTCCATACTGAATGAAAAAAGCAAAGTGCTGCCCAATACATACAGCAGTATACTTTACAACACACTCAGAAAACCAAAAGCATAACAAAGAAACTCACTGTCTTAAGGTGCTTTTGGTTCAGTAGCAGATTACAAATACTATAGTGGAGCACAAATAAATACAAGGTGTGATTACAATATATAGTAAATGTTTAAGTTTAAAAAATGTATTACAGTAAATACACATTGCCATTAATCTCCTTAAAATATTTCTTTTCACTTCAAATATATTTATCCCATATTCTTGCCACTTTCTGAAGCAGTTCTAGAAGTTCTCTTCTGTAAGTGTTTTTATGAAGTAAATGCTGCTGCTGAATGACATCCAATGAAAAGGTAAATTAGTAAGAATAACCACATACAGCAGTGTGTGACTTCTGGCTTTTCCCCAAAGTTAAAATGATCGTGAAAGGGAAAATGTCTGAGCTGATTCAGGACACAGGCAGCCATGACAGTGCAACTAAAGATACTCACGAAAGAGGATTTCAAGAAAGTGGCAGGAGTGATGGAGTGTGTTTGATGTGAGGGGGAGTATTCTGAGGAGGATTAATGGCAATGGATTTTTTTACTGTAATTATTATTATTATTACTAGTTTGTTTTTTTTTGAGACAGGATCTCACTATACAGTTCAGGCTGGCCTTCAGCTCACTTTGTAATCCAGGCTGGTCTCAAATTTCCAATGATCCTCCTGCCTCAGTCTTGCAAATTGCTGGGATTATTATTATAAGCCTATAATTATTACATGCCCAACTTGTAATAATTTTTTTAAAAAACTTAAACATTCACTGTATTTTTCAGATCTGACAAGTAGCAGAAAGGAAAATAAAATGATTAAGGTACAGTTTAGACCTGAACTTCTGGGTAAGTGAAAATAGAGAAGGCTCCAGGTAGGCTTGAAAGAATGGGTTTATGGGGACATGTGTATGTACGATGGTAGACTGGGGCAGGGAGTTATAGCCTAAGAATTTATAAAGGCTCCAAAGCCTGCAAAATCTCAACTGTCAAAGAAACTACAAATAGCTGCCTGGGGCTACAATAAGCTTTTTTTCTCCTGTGTTGTCACTGAAGGGGTTTACCTATTATTTAGCTATTGTCCTGTGGATGGAAGTCCTTCCATCATTATATAGGCACTGAACATCTCAACATACTAACTTTTTCTATATTTAAGGTTCTCAATTCAGGATAAAGTTCCAGAGTGAAATCACTGGGTACGGATCTGGATCCATACTGTTAAACGCATTTCAAAGCGGCCACCCTCAATAGCCCCTCTTGGGGCTCAGAAACTCACCAGCACATTGATGATCATGCTGTTCTCCACAGGGACAGCTTTCACTAGGAGCTTTCTGGTCCCATCCTTGGACTCATAACGGAGGACATACAGGTCTTTATTATTGCTCCACTCAGCTGGTAGCAGTTCTGACTTCTTATCACTAGGACCTGGCTGAGAAGATACAGGGTTGAGAAGAAAAGGATCAGAAGTAGAGCTAGGACCTTATATATAATTAACCCCACTTCTCAATGTACAGATGAGGTTATAAAGGTAAACAGAAATGACTTTGGGGCCGAGGATTTAGTGCAGTGGCATAAGTACTTGCTTGGCAATTGCAAGGTATGGGTTCAGTCCCTGGCACACGCACGCAGACACACATACACATACAAAAGAAGTGATCTGCTCAAGATGATACAGCAAGTTTCAGTTCTCTCTTCTCCTCTCACCAATAACCACTACTCCATATTTTTTAAATTTTTTTTTTACTTTTCCTTCATGTTGTTTTACTATAGCAGCAACCACATAAATATACTGTTTCAAATTATCTTGAATTTTGTATAAATAATATCAGTTCTGCCTGTTGCTTTTATATTCAATAGTGTTTCTGGAGATTCATCAGCATTGGTGCATTCAGCTACAGCTGATTCACATTCACAACTATACAGCATTCCTTAGCATGAATGTGCTGCAATTTACATGTCCACTTGTTGATGAAGACGAGAAGTATTTCCTGTTTGTTTTGCTATTATCAACAATGCTGCTCTGAATATTTTTGTGTGTACGTGGATGCATTTCTGTACAGTATGCCTGAAGGAAGAACTTAAAATTTGTAAATTATAAAATAAAGGAAGGCCAGGGATTTAGCTCAGCAGCACAAGCACCTGCCTGGCAAGTGCAAGGTCATGACTTTGATCCTTTATACAAAAAAAAAAAAAAAAAAAAAAAAGAAAGAAAGAAAGAAAAGATAATGGGAAACTGTTTACAAACAATTACTGACATACACTCCCACTAGCAACGCCTGAGCGCTCCTACTGTTCCACATGGTTGGCAACACTACTATTATCCAACTTTTTAATTCCTTCCAACCTGATAGGTATAAAATTCATCATCTGTGAGTTGTGGTATTTTATTTTCTCTTACTTTCTAATAATTCTTAGATACTAAAGCTTAACACAGTGCTCAAATTATTTCTTTCTTTCTTTTTTCTTTTCTTTTTTTAAGGCAGGGTTTCATTATGCAGTTCAGGCTGGCCTTGAACTTGCAGCAGTCCTCCTGCCTCAGCTCCCTAAATCCTGAGATTACAGGCATGCATCACCATGCCCAGCATTATTTCTACATTTAAAAACAAATCCAGTGATTTGCAGATAGGGAAAGTTTCTTAAATAAGACTGTAAAAGAAAAAAAAAATGCTACCTTTGAGACTGTTCAAAAGACAAAGCCAGAAGGCACAGGTTAGGAGAGTATTAGCCACATTTGCCAATAAAAAATTAGTAACTGCCACATAAAGCCAATGCCTAAAAAAAGTGAACAATAAAAACTGGGAAACCAAAACACTGGCAAAAAGGAATGAATGAGGAAAAGAGCACCTAACAGTCTATAGAAGCTTATTCAATTTTACTAGCAATCAGAAAAGTACCTGCAGAAATAAGGACACTGGGTTACATCCATCAGATTGATACTACCACTTTTCTACTTTCTGCCAGATGTCTGTGTAGGTATGGGGACTGCTGGTGGGCATTCAGACTCATCTGGCCACTTTCAGGAGCAATCTGGCAATATTTAGTGCAACTGGGGGAGCTATAACACCATGCTTGTATACTTTGGAAGAAATCCCAGGCACAGACACAAACAGGAGACATAACAGGGGATCTTTAGCCTGGGGTAAGGCAGCCACTGCATGCAAAATGCAAACATGTTTACAGGGGATTGCTATATAACAGCGTAAACAAACTAGATCTAATTGTAGTATTCTGAACAAAAGTAAAAAAAAAAAAAAAAACGGTCTAAAGTTCAGATCTTTCCAGAAGAATTAATAACATCATCCCACAGTGATATATGTGCACCTATGTTTATAGCAGCACAATCTGTAATAGCCAAATCTTGGGAAAAACCTAAGTGTCCATCAACTGAGGAATAGATAAAAAAGATGTGGAATATTATATAGTGGAATATTACTTAGCCATAATGAAGGATAAATTTGAGACTTTTATAGGTAAATCGATGCAACTTGAAAACATACTTATAAGTGAAATAAATCAGAATTATCTGTGTAAATGTCATATTGTCTCCCTGGTGAGGGTAAATAAGTTCTAGAATGTACAGTAGATATTATGAAATGGGACATAATTGCTTAAAAGGAAAAAAGGAATTAGGAGGGGGCAAAGGGAAAAGAAAGTAAAGGAAAAGGAAGTGTTTCTTGGTTTATTGAAAAGGAAGGTTCATGCTCATATGGGTTGGAGAATCTTTTATGCCCATAGCTTGTATTATGAGTAACTACTTAAAAGCACAGAAATTTCCCATACTTTCTCATGGGCGCCTATTTATATTATCAACATGGACCAGATCATGTGTAGCTGGGCAGCCTGTATTCACAAGAATACAGAAAGGAAGGAGTGTGACCAAGCATAAAGAACACAGACAAAAGACAAAGGTCTAGCAATGCAAGACTTTCCACACATCAAAGACAAAAAGAGGCCAGGAATTTGAAATTGCTGCCTCTACTCTTTGGTCACCTCTGGTGCTCAAGTATTTACTGGGAGAAGTGGTTCCAAAGATGTTAGATGTTAAACTGGCATGGTTTAAACCTGGCTGGATGACAATGGAATTCATAGGGCTGAAACAGAGAAATGAGACTGGCAAAAAACAAAAGTGAAACTATCAAACCATTCTGCTGAGCAGGAAAGAGAAACTATTCTCTTACCCAAAATGGTAAATTTCCTATGACATGCTTAGTGTGTTATGGATTTATTCTGGAAGCCAGGGGTATGAGGATGCATATTATCTTTGTTTTGTCAAGGTTCTTTTTAATTTTTAATATATTCTTCATGCACAGCGCTCAATCTACCAGAACTCTCTCTTGGAATATAGATAATTTGGTCTGCTTATAGTTCCATCATGTTTGGTTTCCAGATTAAGGCAGGATTTTTGTGGTCAGATAAGCCTGATACCTCTCACCATAGTAGGCCTGATGTTCCCCAGACAACCAAGGTGGGACAGACAGGACAGTCCTCATATTATCATGCCAAACATGACTTTCGATTGCCTTCTGGGCCCTGAGATCAAATATCAAATACTGCAGAACCCATGGTTGGAAAGTAGCCAAAGTGCACAGTCCTCTAGTGTAACTTTCTCAGATGAAAACTCTGAGGCTTTAGAGGGGCTAAGCCTCATCCTAGGTTATAGCAGCTCAAGGTCATAGCAAGTTGGGTACAGAGCTAGGTTTGAAATTCAGAGCTCCTGGCTGCCCAGGTTATGGCTGGAGAAGACTGTTCCCAACAAGGTCCAGACTGGCCCCAAAAAAGCAATTTTCTTAGGCAAATTCTTGAGGCTGGAAGGCACCCAAAGAAACTCCAACAGGGCATTTTAGGCATATTCTTTTTCTACATAATCCTTAGATTCCCACAACAGAAAACTAATTTCTCTAACCTGTTTATGGTCACAGCTTAAGTCTCCTTGCCATCTAAACCACTTGATATAACTACACAGCTCTTAAGAGTATTGCATCTGTCTTCAGGAAGGAAATTCAAATATTAATTTTTGTTACAGTCAACAGATACTGCTCCTCTAGCCAATTTTCAAACACATAATTCAAAATTCAGACAATTCAAAAGAGAAACTAGACAAACTAGCTTTCTATTACAACTGTTCAGGTATTATACAGTCAAGTGCATACTCTTGGGACCCTTGTTTCCCTCTTACCTACAAGAAGAGTAGTGAGCAAGAGGTGCTAGAAAGGAATACAAACATTCTCCAAGCTTGGAAAACAATGAAACTGCTGGACCCTTGCTGGAAAACTAAACCCTCTCTTAAATAAACTAAGAGGAAAGGTGTCACTCCAAAAGACTTCTACTGTGAATGAGAGCAGACTCAGCAGAAGTGAGAGCAACCTGAATCCAAAAACGTCTCCAGGAGAAAAGGCTGAGACGCCCAATAGCAGCACACTCTAAGAGTTTACAGTGCAAACAACTGTCCCCTCTGATGGTGCAAAATTTAGCACTGAGGTGGACGGAGCCAGTGGGGAGTGCCTTCTGAAACTCCCAAGATCCTTGGCCTCCCCAAAGATGTCAGGAGCCAGCATCATTTTCTCATCTATAGGAGCTTGACAAGGGGTATGCTGAGCAGAAAGACCTTTGGGAATGTGCCAGGGGCTTATTTTTACAAATCGGCATTAAATGGAGAATACAGTATATTCTTTCTGTACATTTTACTTGAAAAATTGAGGGTCTATAAGCCAAGTGCCCCAACATCAACCCAATAGTTGAGCATTCAGGTTTAATTGCAGTGCTGGCACTTTATGATAAACAAGTAGGTTTTGGGTTGCAGTTTGGACACTCAGTCTCTAAAAGTTTTGCTATCACTGGTCTAATGTATTGGCAAGAGGACGACACCAACTAGAAGGCACCAATCTATCTGAACTGGTGTTCTAATCTGTCAAAGCGCCGCCTAGATGCTCACAAGATTTGTGAAGGAAATGAGTGGTGAGAGCAAACCTGAAGTGTTAATGTATGTCCCTGTTATAAGCTGCTGGTCCTGGGAGAGAGGAGGTAGGAGTTCTGACAGTGAGGCAGAGTTGATATAGCAGGTTTGGAGCTGGGGGTAAGGTACAGGGAATGACAGACCTCCTCCATTTTTGGGATGTGGCCAATGGGGAAACTTCAAGGTTAAAACCAAGTTGTACTCCTCTTTCCTACCTATGATCACTTACAACATTGTAAGTATCAGCATATTGGTAGAACTTTCCAGGAAAAGTTGAAATGAAACAATTGGGGCAAGAAACAGCAGCTAAAGATTAGAAAACTATACAGGTGGAGCAAGCAAGGAGACTTAAGGCTTCTGCTGGAGGAATGGAGAGATTATATAATGAAAGGGGAGCCTGAAATCTGGGAATAGACAGGAGGCTTTCTTTAGTTGGTTCCAAGGTCTGAGATGCTGAAAAGCCAGGAATGAAGTACACTGTGAAAGAAAGTCCAGGGAAATAAATCTTGGAGGAGGAGATGATTCTTGCTTCCAAGGGTGTGCATGCATTCACATACTTGTACACAAGGCTAGGCATTTTTTCCCCGCTTTGTCCCCAATCCCAGTCCTACAGCCCATAAGAAGGATAAGTATGGAGATGGGCATGGGGATATTGCATGTGTATCTGGGGTCCCAGCAGATAGTTGAATTTTGGAAAAGAAAAAATAGAGCCATAAAGCAATAACAGTTGCTCCGTTTCCTGCTGATGGGAGTAAAGATATAGTGATCTTAATCCTTAGTTTTGTGGGACGGAAGGATTGGAAAAGTGGTGACGGGGATGGGAGATACTGGTTAAGTGCTCAGAATATATAAAGTGTGTTTGAGGAGGGTGAATGAAATTAGTAAGACGGCAGTGTATATCTGAGAACCTAGAACGGGACTCATGGGTTTGAGAACTGAAGCAATTAGAAACGAGAGGAAGTTTAAAAAATCCTACTGCAAGATGCAAGGAGTAGGATGGCTTGCTTTCTGGCGCTGGTCTTGGTCTTGCGAATTTGAGGACAGTGACCATGGGAGGCAGGCCTGGAGTGACAAGTGCCCAAGTGTGTGTATGAGGGGAGCGTGGCTGCTGATGAAGTAGATGAAAACCAAGTAGTAGTTAGGGGTCAGGCCCAGTTCTCCAAGAAAGTTGATGTGGTGGTTAAGAGTTACAGAGCAGGGACAGGGAAGATAGAATACTACAGTAAAGAATTAGTGAGGTGGGCTGGACCCAGTAGTCCTGGGGCATCTGTGGAGACATAACAAGGCCCCAGTTCTTAAGAGGTAAAAAAGGGATGGCAGAGTGGGAAAGGATAGCTACATGGTGACTGCTAGAAGAAAGATCCTCACACCGAGGTGCTTATGTATGTGTGGGGTGGTAGTTATCCAGAGCCTGAGCTGGGGATGACAGTAAAGTGGACTGCACCAGGCCCTTCAGTAAAGGGTGAAGGATGTGTAGTGTCCTGGGGGCTATGTTTGAGGGCTGAAGCCCGGACACGACTGGGGCTGAGTAGATTAAAGCTTACTCCTATACCTATGCTTGGATCGACTGTCTGGTGGAGGCTGGGTTGGGTATAGCACAGTACTAAGCTGCTTCCCAGAAAGACTGCCAAGCTGTGCTGACACAGCTTTCCGTCTTTGGGTTTTGTTTACAAATCGTGTAGCACTACCAGTGTTGGGAAGCCTCGGTCAGGGCTGGCGCAGCTGAGCTCCTGACCCACCTAGTCCCCGTGTTTTACTTTCCGGCGCTCCAGGGCATAGAGTTAAGGGAGAAGGGTGGGGAGACTAGGCCTTTGGCTCTGAGTTTTGGCGGAAGACAGACCATCCCTCTCCCCCGTCGGCTTCGGGACGTACCTGGTCGCCTGCGCCCAAGCCATAGTATCCGTGCGTCACCACCTCCCAGTGCAGGAAGCAGACGAGCGCGTCCTGCGCGCAGGTGATCTGCGGCACCGCGGAAGCAAAGAGTACCTCCAAGCCTGCCATGAGCGCCCGGCTTCTGTGGGCGGAAGAAAGGGTGACGAAGTGAGCTGGTTCCGCCCTCGAGGGAGTTTTTACTTTGCTCAGTTAACTCTGCGGGTTAAGGTGGCGTCTCCTCCACTTGCGGCCAAAATGGGGCAGCCCCGGGGGGTGTGGCGTTGCTGCCGGAAGTAGCTCCAAACCCCTGCGCAGGCTTGCTTTGCGCGCCGGGCTGGAAACGGGAGCGTGACCCTGAAAGGTTCCGCTAGGGCTGGCGTGCACATCTGACCCACAGCAGGCAGGACAGCTCATCTTCTGGTCCAAACTCATACAGTTGGTGTTAATGGCAGCAGCATTTCACACATGAGCAATGTGAGGCACAAACGGATAATTTGACCAAGATGGTACAGCTAGCCAGTGAATGGCAGAGACGATACCAGAACCTAGCCGTGTGGCTCCTAAGATAACACTCATTACATGTTTATCGTGTGGTAGCAAAAATTTGTGCCCAAACCTTTGCACACTCCCCTCAAATCTTAAAGGATAGATCTACTGTCATCCCCATTTTGCAAGTGACCAAATGAAAGCAGAGAGTTCAAGTCACTAAGGAAAACAAAGCTCCTGACCAAATTCAGGCATTTATTTGCCTATCAAAAAATTATTATTATTATTATCATCATCATTATTTTGGTACCAGGGGTCTAACTCAGGACACCGTGCTTGCCAGGCAGGCACTTATTACCACTGAGGTAAACCCCCAGCCCTATTTTGAATACCTATTATTTCTCTAACAAGTTTCTTGAAGTTCAATTATTGTTTCTACTCGAATAAATTTAGTTTCATTAGTCTGGGCAGCACCATGGGGTATGCCACTGTCCTTTCTCACTTGGATGCCAAATAGCAGCCTTGAACTCCATCCTGACTGCATACATCTATTCTGCATCCTACAAGCAGAGAAATCCTGTTAGAACACAAGTGAGCTCTCGTCTCCCTGCTCAAAACCTTGCTATGTTCCCAGCCCACTAAAAAATAAAAGTTCAGTCCATGGTCTGCAGAAAAGTGTGTATGGTTGGACTTCCTCTTCCCCGGGTAGCTATCATTTCTAATTATCCTCTCAACCCCTGTACTACTTTGGACTGCTATGATTTTAACTTCCGGATCCCTCTCTTACTATCTGATCTGACAGCAAAGCTGGATGGCTCCCCTCTCAAAATATATTCTGAATTTGACCACTTCACACCACTTCCACTGCCTTCCCCTTGTCTGATCCACCAGCATCTCATGTTCAGTTACTGTAATAGCTTATTAACAGTCTTCCTCTTTCATATGTTCTGCTCTCTAGGTCTTTGTATGTGCAGTTGTTTTTCAGTATTTTATGGGAGATTGGTTCCATGATCCCCTCAGATTCCCAAATCTGCAGATGTTCAAGTTCCTTATATAAAATGGTGTAGTATTTGCATATAACCTGCACATCCTCTTCTAGCTTGTACTTTAAATCATATCTAGATTACTTATGTTACTTAATTCAGTGTAAATGCTATGCAAATAGTTGTAATACTGTATCTGTAGGGATAGTGGACCCATAATAGGGGAAAGATAGGAAAGGGGCCTCAATGAGCTTTATTAAGATTAATAAGGAAACTTACTAAAAGCAGTTTGTGGCTTCAAAGGTAGACTGCAATTAAAGCAGTTAAAAAGCAAAGAAGGAAGAGAAAAGCTAAACTGGAGAAAAGCAAAGAAAGGAGAGAAAAGCTAAATTGTTAATTCATTTATCAGTTAGACACTGAGAAAACCAGGGACAAGAGGGACTTGAAGGGCTAGCTCACCTGACTCACCTGACAGAATGCAAGGGAATAAGACACAGCCTCTTAAGGACTCTTATGTCATATGTAAGACACACATGCACAAGCACACACACATGTGCATGCACACATACAGAGAAACCTATGCATATGTACATATGTATATATGTTTTCATTTTAGCATCATTATAATATTGCACTGGATAGACACATGTACACATGTGTCCTCTATCATTAAGCTGCTCTCCCTCCTTATTCATTACAAAGGGACAGGAAGGAACCAAATGGCCAGAAGGAATGTAGGCAAGTTTAGGATCAAAGACAGTTAAGAGAAGATCACTTCTCTTGACAAGTGCCCACCTGGGGAATAGGAAAGACACTGGTTCCCAGTAAAAGGAACAAGGAATAAGAGCTCCTGGGCTTTTAGCTCTGAAGCCCCCACTACCTCATGGGAGCTATCTATCCTCTTTCTTTTCCCAAACTGTCTTTTGTTGTATTAAACTTTACTCTCTTTTAGTTCTTTATTGGCACTGGGTTTAGGTTTAGGGTCACTGGGAGCTGCATTTTCAGCAGAGCAGTGACATGGCATAGCATGGTGTAGTGAACTGCTCACCCCAGGATGTAACATATCTTTTAGGGACTAGTGTCAGGAAAAGTCTATTTTTTTTCTTGAATATTTTCAGCGCACTATTACTTGGATCCATACATAAGGACGCTGTGGAAAGGGTGGGCAACTACATTGCTCTCTTTGCCTAGAGTGCTCTTTTTTATCTTCATGGTTTGCTTCTTCATTTTAAGTAGCTCCTTATCTCACCTACTAGTTCTAGAAGAGGCCTTCTTTAACTAACCCATTCAAAATTACCTTCTCCACTCTTCATCCTCTTACCATGCTTTCTTTTCTATAAATTATAAAGTATAACGTTATACTACATTATTTATTTGTTTGCTCATTTATTCAATGACTGTGATGAGGGAGTAGGGACTATGTCTCACTTGTGTATAACTGTACTTGAATGCTATCTGGGCTCATTACACACTTATTGAAAGAAAAAATATGAGCAAATTGAATGAATGAGTGAATGAATGAATGAATGAATGAATTCTTGACCTACACCTAACCAATTTGACCCTTGACCACCACCCACTTTGTCAGCTGGCTCTTTGTCTCTCAAAACTAAGATTTTCCTAGGCTGTGCAGATTCCTGAAGTCCATCTACAAAGACTAGATAACACTTTCAGAGAAGGACTTTTGGGATATTGATCATAATCCAGATGATGCTAAAGTTCATGTCCACAGAGCTCTCTTATGGTGTAAAGCTATTTTGTTTCTACCAAGAAGCCCTCTACCTTCAGTCTTCCCTGACGTTATTTGCTTAGCCCCTTCTGATCCTAATATCCTTCCCCTGTTGGGAACCACAAATTCTCAGTGACTAATTTTGTGTACTTTCCTAAGGGATGAACAGTTGGTATCATTCTTTTGACATTTCCCATTATCTCTTTAAGGATGGACCATCCTTTATCACCCACTAATACTAAAACTCAAATCACTAAGATTGAGACTCTAGAGCAAAATCCTTCTTAGCACAAAATCACCTCGGCCCTCTTGGGTCATTTGGTAGTTCCCTCCTCAAATCCCCTGTTTGATCAATAAAGTTAAGGTTCTGGCAGCCTCATGGCCTTTTGTTCCTTGTGAACAACTGGTCCTCCTGGGTCCCTGTTGTCCTGCCATTTTGTCTCTTGTTCTTTCTTTCTCTCTTTTTGTGTTCCTTAATACCCAGCAGGAGATTGAAGGCTTACTGCAAGGGTCCCCAATATTCCTCCATTATGGAGCATTCCCAGATTTTTATTCTTTCTTTCCATGACTCTCCATAGGTGAAGCTGCCATAGATCATGTCGTAGGTTATGCACTGTGCAAAAGTTTCCATTCAGCTCCATCCTTAAATATCTATTGCAATAGATAATGAATAAGTCATAACTCTTGTCCCTTTGGAGCTCAATGTCTAGTGGTTTTAAAAAATTACAGAACAATGTAAATCAATGTGAAAACTGCCATGCTAAAGAAGTATTCAGAGATATATGTAAGTAGGAAGCATACAAGCCAGTCTTAGGGCCAGGGAGAACTTTTTGCATGAAGAGGAGGTTTATTGGGGACCACAAATTCATAATAGCTAGTTTTACATACTTCTCTAAGAGATGAATAGAAGTTTGGGATTTTTGGTATCTCACTTTTGAGATTTCCTGTTATCCCATTAAGGGTGGGCCATTCTCTCCCACATACTAAAACTAAGACTCAAACCACTAAGATTAAGAGTAAAATCACTAAGATTAAGACAAAGACTACTAAGACTGAAGATGTTCCAGGAGAAGATCCTCAATATTTTAAGATCACTACCACCCTCTGAGTCATCTGATAATCCCCTCCTCAATCAATAAATGCCAAGGTTCTGGATGACTCGTGGTGTTTTATATTCCCTGGACAACTGGTCATCCCAGATCCCCACTGTACTGCCATCTTGTCTCTTGCTCTTTCTCTCTTGTTGTGCTCTGTAATACCTGGCAGGGGACTGGAGGATCACTGCAGGGGTCCATGGTAAATGTTGACTGTACAGACCTTTATGGTAGATTGGGAATAGGTTAAGTAACAGAAAGTGTTCCAGTAAAAGAGAAGAGCAATTGTAAAGGCATGGATGAAGATATGAAAGACATCTCATTCTGTGTGATGGTCAGGTCAGCCCTGCTACAAGGGGCCTTCTTTTCTCTCTTGCCCACTGTCCTCAACATGCTGGATCTCAGTGGGTACCAAGGGGTGGGCATGCAACAATGAAAGCTATTAGCCTGAAAGGAGAGGAGTATTTTATCACTGAATTTGATTAGAATTGCTGATTCATGATAATGAAGAACAGACTAGCTTTCTATCAGTTCTATCATCCTTTTTCAGGTTTTTTACTGACAATACATCTCTTTGATGCCTGTCCCTGAGAAGACAGCTCCTTGCCCTACTCCTTGTTCTCTATTATTTTGTGTGAGATCAGTCATGACATGCATCCTATAGAACTTTGACTTATTGTTGTACAACATCATCCCTGTCTTAGCCAATGCTGAGACAAAGACTTCAGTGGTTTATTTGGGAGCTGATTCCAGGAAATGGCAGGAAAGGCAAGGAGCAGAGAAGGATAGTGCACAAACATGCCAGACACCTGCAGCTGGGGAACTCGGGGGATGGGGGTGAGGCACGTTTAGGACATGCTCAGACTTGTCTCATGTGAGGCTGATATAGGACCTCCAAATGATATAGTTATAGTGATATCATAATCTACTTGATGTCACATACACCAAGTTTGTGTTCCTCAAATCGAAGAATGAATTCTAAGTAACAATGGAGGTTAAAAGTAGGAAAACTTTATTGGGAAAGAGAGTTCCTGAGAGATAGATGGGGGCCTAAGAAGGTTGCCAGTAAGCATACTTTTCAAAGAAAGTTTTATAAAGCAAAATGATGAGATGGGTACAAAATCATGAAACTATGATCAACCAATAAGATTGCAAGTATAGCTGCTTAGTCAATGTTGATCCGATGGGGAAGCAAGTCATGTAGCA